CAAATCCCCCCTAAATCCCAGAGAGACCCCTCAAATCCAGGAGAGATCCACCAAAACCCCCCATAATCCAGGAGAGACTCCTCAAATCCAGGAGAATCCCCCCAAATCCTCCCTAAATCCACAAGAGACTCCCCAAATCCTCCCTAAATCCACAAGAGACTCCCCAAATCCTCCCTAAATCCAGGAGAGACCCCCCCAAACCCAACAGAGACCCCCCAAAACCCAACAGAGACCCCCCCTCCACGCACGGTGGTGATGGAGTAGATGGGGTTGAGGATGGTGAAGAGCAGGACGTTGTTGACCCCCCGGGAGTCGTCGGCGTCCCCCGGGCGGGAGATCTTCTGGCTGGTGGAATAATTAACGAAGGCGGGGTGGCCGGCGATGTAAATCTGATTATCGGCGGCGTAATTAACGGCGTTGCAGGCCCCCAAGATGTCCTCGAACTCCACCAGGGCTTGTCTCTTCTTGGGCATCACCACCACGTAGCTGTTGGGGGGGGAGAACGAAGAGGGGAGGAAGAGGAAGAGTGGGATGAAGGTTAGACCTTGGTCATGGTCATGGAGCAGGTCATGTTAATTGCCATCAAAAGCCACTTAATTGGCAATCAAGGGATCAGGCCTAGCACTGGGTGTTGTAGTCTAGGGAAGAAGCACAAAACCACCCCAAAATGGGGTTAAAAAGCCCCCCTTTGAGGGTCGGGGTCAGGGGGGTGAGTCCCAGGAGGATGGGGAAGCTCGGATCGTTGGGGCAACGGCAACAGGATGAGTTTCAACGAGGGCAAGTGCAAGGTAGAGACTTTGGGAGAGGAGGGGATGACTTGGAAGAGGAGGGCATGACTTTGGAAGAGGAGGGCATGACTTTGGGTGACTTTGGTAGAGGAGGGGACCACTTTGGGAGAGGAGGGGATGACTTTGAAGAGTAGGGGATGACTTTGGATGACTTTGGGAGAGTAGGGCATGACTTTGGGAGAGTAGGGCATGACTTTGGATGACTTTGGTAGAGTAGGGCATGACTTTGAAGAGTAGGGCATGACTTTGGATGACTTTGGTAGAGTAGAGCATGACTTTGGTAGAGCAAGGGATGACTTCGGTAGAGTAGGGCATGACTTTGGTAGAGGAGGGGATGACTTTGGATGACTTTGGGAGAGGAGGGCATGACTTTGGGAGAGGAGGGCATGACTTTGGATGACTTTGGAAGAGGAGGGGATGACTTTG